TCAGCCAGACTTCAGTTCAGGGAGCGGGCAAGAGTGCAGCAGAGACCCCCGGGGTCGGGGGATGGAGGGGGATAACGGAGGCGTGGGGGGAGGGGAGGCGGATGGACAGTGGAGAGGTCTGGCCAGGAGGCAGGAGACGGCACCAGCTCCTGTTGCGCCTCTGGTTCGAGCGCTGTGTGGCTTCAGGCAGGTTCCCCACCCTCTCTGTGTCATTTCCCTGTCTGAAGGCCTGGGGTGGCAGTCACTTCCAAGAGGACACCAAGCCGTACTGCCGAGACCTGGGAGTTGAGGCGCTGACCCTGCCCTCACACTTTGGGGTTCGTCTGCGTGTCCTCTGGTCCCAGCCCCGCCGTGGGTGTGGGGTTCCCAGGGGCCCAGAGAAGGTGTCCCGTGGGGTCTGTGCACCCCTCCTGGACCACACTCAGGTGCCCACCTGCGGGGTCCCCCGCCTGCCCGCTGACTCCACTGCTGGGGGCCGTGGCTGGAGCGAGGTGGGAGGACCGGGGTGTCCCGGGTGAGCACAGAGGGCCCCTGTGGCACCATCTGGAGTGGGAACGGGGTGGGGGCGCCTGTGCCTGCAACTCCACATCCCCCACTGGCCCCGGGCCAGGCCCCCAGGCTGTGGGGAAGGTGTGCTTGCCCAAGTGGGAGGGGAGCAGGTGGGATCCAGCGACTGATCGATAGTGGGCATACTTAGACTCCCAGCACATGGCCCCGAATCTGCCCTTGCCCCACACCTGACAACACCGTGCCCACGGCTGGCCTCCTCCACCGCGGGCCCCGTGGTGCCGCCCCCCACCCATCCCCCCGCCCGGCGTTACAACGCCCTGACCCCATCAGAGGCCTGGGTAGCTCAGTTCTCCCGGCGCCGGGATCAGATGCCGACCGCCAGGGTCACCTTTCACTCCCATTTCACTCCCAGCTTCTCCAGGCCATCGGGAAGGGCACGGGATGGGCGCCTTCCCATTGGGCCTGCCCCAAGGTGGGTGGTCCCTAGGCAGCCTGTGCGTAGCTCGAGGCAGGTGCACGCTCTGAGCGTGGAGCCGAGAGCAGAGGGTGGCTGGCGGCAGCCGTCTGGGAGACAGGGGTGGCTGTGGCGCCCAGGGAGCCCCACCTCGCGGCCTCCCCAGCCTCTGCCCCTCCAGCCTCTGCCCCTCTCCCAGCCACACCCCCCACTCAGCCTTCCTCTGGGGTCTCGGGCCACTGTGCTCTTCCATCCCTGTGGCTGGGGGAAGATACAGCATTTCACAGAGAGGAGGGGGCCCGACAGAGAGGGGCTCTCAGAGGCCAGAGACCGGCCCTGAGTGCACGCTGGGCTGAGGATGCGGGGGGGAGGGGTCGGGGGCTGGCGGGAGGCGGAGGTGCGAGCAGGCATCAGGGACATCTGAAAACCCTGCCTGAGCTCAGGGCCAAGGTCTGCTCACCAGCCCCCAGCCAACCTGGATGGGGGAGACCGCGCCCCCCGTGCCCAGCCCACACCACCCTGAAGGGCCTGCCCACCTGTGCCCAGCAGGAAGGAACTGGCACTTCTCTCTGCCAGACAAGACCTGGAGTGCCCACGAGGGAACAGCCATTACTGCCCCACTTCACAGACAAGGAAATAGAGGCTGGCCAGGGCTTCGGAAACGGGCCCAAGGCTGCTCAGCTCGGAAGGGGCAGGGTGAGCATCAGACTCGCAAGTGGGCAGGGTGAGCGTTGGACCCGCAAGTCCGGTTGCCTGAGCCCTCCCCGCCCTGCCACCTCCCACGGGCCCTGCCCTTCCCAGAGGGCAGCATGAGCGAGGCCCGGGGCTGGAGCCTGGAGCCCCTCTTAGGAGGACAAGAAAGGGGCGCTAGGGAGACAGCAGGAGGCCCCTCCGGCCTCGGGTCCCAGGCACCTGTCCGTGCAGGGCAGATGGGAGCGTCTTGAGGTCCACAAGCGCTCCTGCGTCTACACTGGCTCATCTCGAAGGTTTGAATCCCATCTCTACACTGACACCTTCCAAATCGGCGTTTGCAGCCCGCCTGCCCCCTGAGCTCCGGACTGGAACCACTGAACTGCCCCCTGACCGGCCACTCAGCCTCAAGTTCAAAACCAAATCCCGATTTTCCCCAACTCCCCCCCCCCTCCAATCTGTTCCTCCTGTACTTCTCCCAACTCTGTTAAAGACACCAACCCAAGAACTGGGGTCAAAACCCTGGATTCCTCTTTGCGCACCGACCACATCCCCCCACCAATGGGCTTTCCCCCAAGCTACAGGGGTGTCCTGAACCCCGCCACTCTCCCTCTCTCTGGGGCTACAGCCCTGCTGCAGACCCCCCCCCCCCACACACATCGCTGCAGCAGCTCCTCCCAGTCCCCTGCTTTCCAAATCGCACACTTGCCAAGCGCAAGGGAAGAAGCCCAAAACCTCGGAGCCTTGCAGACCCAGCCCTGCCTCCCTCTCTGTCTCATCCCCCCTGGCCCACCAAACCCCAGCCATTAGTGTTCCAAATGCCTCCCTGCCCCAGGTCTGGGAGTCTCCCCCTCCCCACCCCAGGGGTCGTGCTCTTCCCAGATACCCCTGCTGCCGGAGCGTCCCTGTGCTCCCCCTCCCACCACGTCCTCTGCTTAGCTTTCTGAGTCCCTCCCTGCAGGGTGGAGCCTGTGTCTTTCCCACCGCAGAATCCCCCGGGGCCCAGACTGTGGACCCTCCGCGAGTGCTGGGCAATGTCCGAGTGAACTGGCCTCCGTCTGCCCTTGTGTGCAAGGGGTGCGGTGAAGACGTAGCCCGGAGCCCGACAAGTCCTAGCAGGGTGCTGGACAGCTGCTGGGCCACCTCCGTTGCAAGCTGTCGGCGTGTATGGGTGTTGGGGGGTCCTCCTGGGTCCCCGGGAGCCCCGGCTGGCCCGGCACAGCCTGTTTCCTCTGATGCATTTTCCACTTCCTCTCCGTGGGGGGTTGGCTCCGGCAAAGGCCCAGGAGGCAGAGCAGCTGTTACCATGCGCACGGGTCTGGGGACCCAGCCCTCCGTGGAGAGGTCGGAGTCCACGCGGGAGCAGGCAGGGCTGCCTGGGCCCCCCACCCCGGAGCCTGTCTCCCAGGCTCTCCTCCTTCCGCTTTGGGCTGGGCCTGGACCTCCCCCACCCCACCCCACCCCCGCACATCCCTTGCAGGGGTCCAGGCCAAGGGCACTGGGGTGCAGAGGGCAGCCCTGGGGCAGAGTCCACCTTGCTCGGGCCCTCAGCAAGCAAACACGCTGCGGTCTGCTGCAACTGTGAACCCTAAGAGGGCCGGGGCCAGGCTCACGGAGGCGGCCTGTGAACATTCCCCGACCCCCCTCGGAGCCCACAGCCACTCCCCGGAAGGAGTAGGGTCCCCAGGCCCAGCGTGGGGTGGCTCTGCGGCCGTGCAGGGGCAAGACGCAATCCCTGGGCTTTGCAATCTGACAGACGCCGGCCCACCTGGCTGGACAAGGGTCTCCGTGTCCTTGCGTCTGTGGGCCTGGGAAGGGCTCAGCACCCTATGGGGGCACCGGCGGGGGCTCAGGAGACAGGAGCTGGGTCCCCAGGTGCCCCCCCCCCACCGCCCAGCACACAGAAGGGTCCACCAGTGTTCCCCGGATGACAGACAGGGATAGGGCTTGTACGCTGTCAAAGGGGGTGCATCCCCTCGGGTCCTCGGGTCCTCGCTCTGCTTGCCGGGCCCATCTGGGTCTCTGCTGCTCTGGGGGCCACGTGACCACGAGGGGGCTCTGCAGAGAGACAGGCAGCCTCCCCCTCTGCTGACCAGATGGGCACAAGGCACCCCCGCAGCAGCTTCAACAGCCCCCAGTCCAGTCCTCGGCTCTGCCCCTCTGGGGTTGGCCCTGGGCTTCCCGGGACACTGCAGGGCAGCGCGCAAGCAGCCAATCCGATCCGACTGTCGGTGTTAGAGAGGAGGCTCAGAGAGGGCGAGTGACCCGCCTGAGGTTTCACAGCGGCCCCTGGCTGCCCGCCAGGAAGTCACAAAACTGCGGTCCCTCCGTGGGGAGGGCCCCTGCCTCCCCGTCCCACGGGTCGACACTGCCTTACCCATGAAGGTCACTGGAGGAAGTGACGCGGGGTGGGGGCGGTCAGCGCCAACCCCCAGCCTCCCCAGCCCCCTCCCGCGCCTGGGAGAGCGCCACCCTCTCTCTCTTCTCAAGGGGGAGCCTGGGGGTCACGACCCTGCCTGCCCCCCCCAGCAACCCAGCAGCCTCTGTCCCTGCGGGTGCCGCTCGCCGCCACCTGGCCGGCGGGGCGCCTCGTGGGATCAGAGGCGCGCGGGATTAGGTCTGCAAATGGCTCTCGCTGCTGTCCAGTCATTTCTGCCCCGCGCCGCCTCCTCCCCGCACCGCGCCCCGTCAGCCAGGCCAAGGGGACAGCGACATTGACAGGCGCCCCCCACCCAGAGGCTGGTTTCTCCTGCCTCCACCCGCGTCCGCGTCCTGCAGCCGCGCCTCCCCCCCCCTCCGCCCAAGCCGCGCTGCGCACGGATGGCGGCGGAGCCGCAGAGGTGTGTGTGTGAGGGGAGGCCGCGCCGGTCCTGGGTGCCACGGGCTACGTCCTCCCCCAGGTGCTGGGGGCTGGAGAGGGGGCTCCCCGGCCACGACCCAGGCATTCCCTCGGGGATAAGGGACTGTCCTAGGGTGGGAAGGGCGCACTGCCCGCTCCCAGGGACTCCCAGAGCTGCAGGGAGGCGCTGAGTAATGCGGCCCCCTCGGGACACAGACTGGGGGTGGGGGCAACCCTTCGCGGGGGTCTCGGGATGAGCGCCGCGCTGACGGATGGGGCGGAGGAGGGGGCGTGATTCCGCGGCCGGCAGCCGGACGACGCCTGCAGACCAGCCTCGGGCGCTGCCCGCCCCCAGGGGCTCTGGCGGTGGGGTGAGGGCCTCCTCCCTCTGGCTGGGGTGGGGGCGCGCCCCCGCGGTGCAGCGCCCGCGACTGCGAAGTCGCCGCGCCGTCGGGGCCCCGGGGGGCCCGGGGCGGGGGTCTGCGCTCGGGGGCGCGCCGCTCCTACCTGCCCACGAAATTCTCCAGCACCGAGCTCTTGCCGGCGCTCTGGCCGCCCACCACGGCGATCTGCGGCAGGTCGAGGTCGGCGTTCTGGCCGATGGCGGAGAAGGCGTCCTGCAGCCGGTTGACCAGCGGGATGAGGTCCTCCATACCGCGGTTGCCCATGGCTGCGGCGGGCCCGGCGGGCTGCGATGCGGCCGCCGCTCCCGCTCCCGCTCCGGCTCCGGCTCCGGCTCCGCCGCTGCAGCCGCGCGCCCCGACTGCCTGCGCCGCGGGCCCCCCGCCCCTCGGGGATCAGAGCGGAGCGCCGCGCTCGTCCGCCGCTAGGGGGCGTGCGCGGCGCCGCGGGCGGGCCGCCCTGCGCAGGCGCGGTCCGCGGCATTTTGGGTGTTGTAGTTTTCTCCCTCTGCGGATTTCGGGGCGCCTTAGCTGTGGCTTGCTGGGGTGGGCGGCGGAACATGTTTCTGGACATGGACAGTGTCTCACCCCTAACGACAGGGTCTCTGATACTAGCCGTGGCTGCCTCACTCCATCTTACAGATAGGGAAACTGAGGCACGAGAGGCCTCTGCCTCCTCCAAGGTCACGAGCAACCCCTGACCCCCCGTCCTCGCTGCTCTCCACTCTGGATTCTGACGCCAGTGAAGCTCCCACGTGCCCCTTCCCGCCTTTAGGCCTCAGCTCCCCGCCCCTCCGCCCCACTCCTACAAGAAGAAAGCCCGAGGCTCCTTAGAGAACTCTCAGGAGGAGACTCTGCAGGGGGGTCCGGGCCCGCGGGGGCATTTCCCTGCACGGTGAACAGGGCAGGGGTCCTGCAGGCAGGGCAGAGGCCTGTGAGCTGGTGACCTCATTCATCCTTAGCATGCATTTTTCCAAAAAGATTCATTTTTTCAAAGAGTTAAGAGAGAAGAGACAGTGAGATCTTCCATCCCCTGGTTCACTTCCCAAATGGCTGCAAGGGCCAGGGCTGGGCCAGACCGAAGCCAGGAGCTGGGAGCTTCTTCCACGTGGGTGCAGGGGCCCAAGCACTTGGCCTGTCTTTCGCTGCTCTCCCAGGCACGCTAGCAGGGAGATGGATCAGAAGTGGAGCAGCTGGGACTGGAACCAGGGCCCGTATGGGATGCCGGCGCTGTAGGCAGCAGCAGTGCGGGCCCCTGGCATGCAAGTCGGGAGCTGTGCTGGACCTCAGAGACAGAGCAGTGAGCAAAATGGACAAAGTGCTTATGTGTGGCCGGCAGGCTTTTTCTAGCGGAAAAAGAGGGGCGATGCCCAGACGAGCGAATAAAAATGCCCGGTCAGATGGCGATGGCGTGTGCGAAAGCTGTGCGGGGCGGGGAAGCTGTGTCCAGGGAGGCCCGAGAGCCCCCTGTAACATGGAAGCCACCGGGGAGGGAGTGACCCACGTGGACCATCCAGCCAGGGATTTTCCAGGCAGCAGAGGGAAGGGGCAGCCCCTCTCCCTGGCAGCACCAGGAAGTGGGTTACAAACCTGCCCTGGGCCGCGGATGAGCTGTGTCATCAGCAGGCCCCTCCCTGCGTCTGAGCCTCAGCTGTGTAACCCGGAGAACGGGGATCATGATGGGTGGAGAGGCGTGGCCCGGGCCTGGTGGTCAAGAGCATCAGAGCCACGCGGCTCGTGCCCTGCTGTCGTGCTCTGGGGGCCAGGCAGAGCCTGGGTGAGCGGCACCACTACTGGGGAGGGGTCGGTTCACACACGTCCGCCTGGAGGGGTGCCATCGAGGCCGGCCTTTTATTGGTTCCAATAATTTCCCCCCTAATTACCAAAGGAACCTTATTGTACAAATACGACTCTGTGCAAATATCCGAAAAGTCCTTCTCCCACCTGGAGATAACCGCTATTTATAGAACTCAGGGTTTAGTCTCTGGCTTCTCCCCCAGATATATTTGTTCTGCTCCATTTTGGTTTTTTCCTAAAAAGGGGTCATCCTAGATATCCTTAGCTGCTGGGTCAGCGACGCCCAGCCAGCAGCCGGGGCCCCATATGGAGCTGGACAGAGATATGGGGTCTCGGGCCTCGCCCCAGACCTGCTGGGCATCACAACCTGCCCTTAACAGGACCCAGGAACTCCGCGACACTCCTGCACCCATCAAACTCGGAAAAGCTCTGCTGTGTGAGCGTACCCCCCCCCCCCGGAAAGCTCTGGAGGGGGCGGGCACCGTGGCACGGCAGGTTGAGCTGCCACTGGGTCGCCGGCTTCCTGTAACAGAGCGCAGGTTTGCATAAAGGCTCCTCCACTTCCGATCCGGCTCTTCGCTATGTACCTGGAGGCAGCCGATGATGGTGGCCAAGGCGCTTGGGCGCCTGCCACCCATGAGGGAGACCGGGTGGAGTTCCTGGCTCCTGGCGTCAGCCTGGCCCAGCCCTGGCTGCTGCTGGCACTTGGGGAGCACTTGGGAACATGCTCTGTGCGTGCCCCCAGCCAGGTTGCCAGGGTTCACTTGCACCATCTCCCACAGCTCAGAAAGGAGATGTTTTATCCACTCCCCTTGACAGATGAGGAAACTGAGGCACAGGGGAGTTTAGGACGTGTCCCAGGTCACAAAGCCTAGTAGCGATGGAGCCACGACGTGGCTGGGGCCAGATGTCACTTGGCGCTCCCACACGTCTGCCCTAAACTCTGCTGGCTCTGGGAAGCTATGCACAGAAAACACCAGCTCTTTCTGATAGTGTTTCTGCTGTGCATACAGCAGGCGCTCAATAAATGCCAGTTGCATGGGCCAGTGGCCTTGTTCTAGAGCTCCTGGGCTGAGCCATTCTACCGCTAAGTCTCCTGGGTCATGGCCTTTCGGGAAGGGTCCATGCCTCACCTCAAGGAAGCCACGGGGCATGGAGAGGTTCCTAAGATGTAGGGCTTGTCCCTGTGCCCTGGGAGGCTGCTTCAGTCTGGGAGGCAGCAGAGGGCATGGCTGCACTTGGCAATGGGGGGGTGCTGAGACCCCAATGCAGTCCTGTCCAGCAGAATGGCCCCTGAGTTTCCCGGGGACCCGCCCTGGGTCACCCGGAAGGAAGGGGCAGCAGCAAAGCTGTGCCCACCCTTTTGTGCCCCACTTCTGTCTTCCGTCTCCCTCACCCATTTATTTATAGGAAAAGGCACAGGTGGGCGACAGACACTGGCGAGGCCATGTGATAAACACAGTCTCAGATTTTTCTCTGCTTCTTTTCTGACTTGGAGCTGTCGCTGAGCCCAGCCTGTTGCCAGGGGTTCTGAGCTGGGGTGTCCGAGGGAGGGGCCCACTTACCAGGGTGCTGTGTGGGTGGGGTTTGCTGGACACGGAGGTCAAGGAGGCAAGAGCTGCTAGGATGAACACTAACTCAAAGACACGGGGAGGAAACTGCATCCTGGAGTCGTCCATCCACTCCCTCAGCGGGCCTTCCATCCGCTGGTTCACTCCCCAGATGGCCGCAGCGGCCGGAGCTGGGCTCATCCGAAGCCAGGAGCCAGGAGCTTCTTCCAGGTCTCCCACGTGGGTTCAGGGGCTCAAGGACTTGGGCCATCCTCTACTACTTTCCCATGTGTACTAACAGAGAGTTGGACCAAGAAGTAGAGCAGCCGGGACTCGAGCCGGCACCCATAAGAGATGCCGGCACTGCAGGCGGGGGCTTTACCCACTATGCCACAGCGCTGGCCCCCTCTACCTCATTCTTAAACTACAGACCTTGGGCAAACATGCCGGCTGTTCTCCAACCTAAACACGGGTGGTCAGGCAGCACCAAGCAAAACCCTGATGGAATTGAGGGGTAGGGGGGTCTAGCAAAAGTCTGTAATTTACCTGGAAAAACAAAAAACGTGATTGGGAATTGGCAAGAAAAAGATGAAAAAGAACAATAACCTCAGGCAGCTGTGTCACCTGCTGCACGGTGGCCAGCCCCAGGATCCGGGTCATGGTAAATGCACCTCAGAGCAGGGCCAAGAAAGAGGCTTCGAGGAGTTCGGACGGCTCAGGCCTCCCTGGGCCTGTCTTTCCTTCCGGGGAAGTCCGTGGGGACACTTGGCCTGCACGAGGCTGGTTAAAAGCAATTAGCCCCAGACAGCGTCCCCGGGTGCTGCCCTTGACTGCCTGGGCTGCTCCTGGGGAGGCGATGCAAGGTCACTCACAAGACAGCAAGCCGCTCACGCTCTCCCGTGATAGAAACAAACCCGCCCACGAGGCCACTGCACGCATGAATTTATTCTCTCCCAAACAGGCACCATAATGTGTATGCAGTTTTGTGCCCAGCCGAGTTCACTCACCTCCTATCGTGAGTGCTTCCGTATCCTTTGAAAACATCGTTTCTGATGGCTTCGTGCCACTCCTAAAGTTAATAATTGTCCAGACAACTATTAGAAATAATGCTTCTTCAGATAACCTAATGGCTTTTTTTTTCTTTTTTAGATTATTTATTTGAGAGACAGAGTTACAGACAGAGAGAGAGAAAGTTCTCCATCTACTGGCTCACCCCCCAAACAGACCCAATGGCCAGAGTTGGGCCAACCCGAAGCCAGGAGCCAGGAGCCCCCCTCCCCAGGCCCCTGATGTGAGTGCAGGGTGCCAGGCACCTGGGCCAAAACCTTGCTGCCCTCACCACCCCAGCCACCAGCAGGGAGCCGGATTGGAAGAGGAGCAGCCAGGACCAAACTGGTGTCCACAAGGGATGCTAGCGCTGCAGGCAGAGGAGGCCCGGCCCACCAAGCCAACTCCCTACTGCCTTTTTTTTTTTTTTTTTTAAGATTTATTTCTTTGAAAGGCAGAGTTACAGAGAGACAAAAGCAGAGAGAGAGAGAGAGAGAGAGAGAGAGAGAGAGAGAGTCTTCCATCTGCTGGTTTGCTCCCCAAGTGGCCACAACGGCTGCAGCTGGGCTGATGGGAAGCCAGGATCCAGGATCCTCCTCCAGGTCTCCCACGTGGGTGCAGAGGCCCAAACACTTGGGCCATCTTCCACTGCTTTCCCAGGCCACAGCAGAGAGCTGGATCAGAAGTGGAGCAGCCAGGACTGGAACCGACGCCCATGTGGGATGCCGGCGCTTCAGGCCAGGACGTTAACCTGCTGTGCCACAGCACCGGCCCCCAGGCTTGCTCTTGACACCTTTACACCTGCCCCTACTGTGGCAGCCTCATGCAGACCACCTCATTTTGTCCCACTTAACTGTGTCGTTTGCTTCCTTCTGATTTCCCTGAAGAGTTCTGAGTCAGACTGCAGGTTGCTGTGCAACAGAATTCTTTTGGTAGCAAATGATGGCTGCAACAATCATACACACCCATGGGGTGTTGGTTCCAGGATGCCCATAGATACCAAAGTCTACAAATGCTTGTGTCCTTTATATTAAGTGTCCTGAACCTACACATATACTCCCATATACTTTAAATCATCTCTAGGGACTACTGCTGTATGGCGGTGAGTTAAGCCATTGCCTGTGATGCTGCATCCCATATTGGAGCACAGGTTTGAGTGCCAGCTGCTCCACTTCTGATCTAGTTCCCTGTTAATGCACACGGGAAAGCAACAGATGATGGCCCAAGTACTTGGGCCCCTGCCACCCACATAGGTGACCCAGATGGAGTTCCTGGCTTCTGGCTTCAGCCAGGCCTAGCCTCGATTGTTGTGACCATTTGGGGGAATGAACCAGGGGATGAAAGATCTCTCTCTGTCTCTGTTTCTCCTTCTGTCAGTCTACCTTTTTTAAAAACCATCTCTAGATGATTTATAATACCTAATACAATGTAAATGTGATGTTAATAGTCGTTTAGGGAATAATGGTAAGGAAAATAGTCTGTTTATGTTCAGGAATATCCAGTTATTTTTCTGAATATTTTTGGTCTATGGTTGGTTGAATCCACAGGTGGAGTCCATGGATACCAAGGTCTGAGAGCAATGGCTTAGTGAGACTTGGGAAAAGTGCCCTTGGGGCTGGCACTGTGGCGTCATAGGCTAAGCCTCTGCCGTGTGGCACCACATCCCATACAGTTACTGGTTCATCTGGACTGCTC